CTAAATTAATAAACAGGAAATAATATACATATGGTATATTTAAGGCCATCTGGAAACATTTCCATCGTTTCAAAGGTGTTCATCAGGGATGCCCTTTAAGCGCACCATCCATTCTTTCCTTAAAAAAAGTGCTTTTTTGCATTAACAGCGAAAGCCTCACTTGATAAACAGAGCAGCATATCTCACACAGATAAGCTGAGGAGAAACAGATGGTGCGGACCTGTGCCTCATACAGCGAGCCATCGCTCTGTAACAGGTTTTGAAGATTCACGGGGTGGAGGGAAGATAAAGAAATGGTGGAATGGAACTCATCCATGTGTCCACTGCACCTGGCTATCTGCCTCCAAGCTATGTGTACTCTATCCTAGGCGCTGAGCTGGAACAACAGGCCGCTCAACCACCTCCAGGGAGCCCTGCGCGTACAAACCGGACGAGATAAAAGGGCATGTTTGGACGACCATAGGATCTGTCAACCAGGAACGTCCAAAACCAGGCCATCTGGCTGGGGTCTCTTCTACCCACTTTACAAGGCACCGAACCGCAGCGCCAAGAAGGTTCCCACCTGCTCTACACAGCAACAGGAAGAGATTACGGCTGAAAAGCAAACATTTGTTGGTAAGTGTGTGCGATATACATAGCAAACCTACAATTTGCATAGAGAAGTAACACTTCAAAGCCCAGAGGAGAGCACTGGCACTTACATCTGTGAGTTTAAGAACCACAGCATGAAAACAGAGATGGGATAAAGATTGGAGAGACTGAGTGTCTACAGTATGACCTCTCCAAGGACAGAAGATTAGCATCTGTGGCCCCAGATCAGCAGAATGTCTGAAGAACCTCAAAGAGGGGCAAAATTGCAATGGTAACGCAATGCTGAAGGATTCTTTTGGAAAAAATGAAGGAACATTTTCCATTCTGAATTCTGATAGGATACTCTTTTCTTCTTCAAGGACTGAATAACAAGAGGTTTGCTCAATGTATTTATTTATTTAAATGCATGTTCAAAAAGAGAAGAAAAAAAGGAAAAGAAAAAATGAATCCATTATGGAAAAGGCAAGAGAAAGTATTGCAAATGCTAAATTGATCATGTTCATGTTTTACCCATGTGAAAATATAACACATAGGCCACACATATTTTAAAATGATCATGTCAGGCCTATACAATTCATAATTTAATAAAAGTTGTATTTATCTAGTTCAAAAACAATCATGGTTTAATAAATTAATCTCAAGTGTTAAAGTTCAAGCACTAGAGGCATTATAAATGCTATAAAAGCGCTAGGGGCATCGGCATGTACAAATCCTATTGCTCTGGCTCATGAATATGAATTAGGTGACATCCAGCCATATTTAGATTACCACCCAGCAATTGCACTTCCATTGATTTATGAAAATTGATACTGAATTTTCATAAGTATCACTTCCATTGATACTGAAATGTATTTAAATGAAGACTGAAAGAGTCGTCGAAAGACTAATGGTGTAGTTCGTAACATATTTTACACAGTAATCCATACATCAATCAAACCTCTTGTGTTTTTGTCAAAGGAGAATCAAGGTGATGCTAACGTCAGAAATACAACATCACTGCAGCACAATATAAGTTTGAAGCTGTTTTATTATACTGATAGCTACAGTTTTCTTATAGGGGTCATATGATGCTGCTAAAAAGAACATTATTTTGTGTATTTGGTGTAATGAAATGTTTATTCGTTTTAAGGATAAAAAAACACATTATTTTCCACATACTGTACATTATTGTTTCTCCTCTATGCCCCGCCTTTCTGAAACGTGTCGATTTTTACAAAGCTCATCGGTCTGAAAAGTGAGGTGTGCTCTGATTGGCCAGCTATCTAGTGCGTTGTGATTGGCCGAATACCTCAAGCGTGTGACAGAAATGTTACACCCCTCACCATACTGTGATGCCTTGTCCCAGCCAGAGCGACGAGACAAAAACATTCAAACCCATTACAAACGAGGCATTTGTTGCATCCAGTGGGGACATAATTACGGATTATAATGACTTATACTGTCTTTTTACACTTTGCATTTTATCGCGCCGTGTAAACATAAAACCATGTCTGCATTTGTGATCAGAGAAACGACAAACAACAAGCCCTACTCTACACTGCTCAAAACTCGCGTTTGAATCATCAGTGGCAAATTCTTTAAATATAAAAAACATACTTACCCTCTATGAGTCAGAACAGCCGGCATTGTGGTCTACTCTACCAGGATCAGGAAACAGTCCTCCATAAAATGCGCTGCACACATCTGAATATTTGGGTTGAACTGTTCTGGAACAGTGTTGTAAATACAACTTAACCACTGATTTCTAGTCGTGTCCTCTTTTGGAAGGCCAAACAAAGTAGAAAGGCTAGAGTGAGCGGAGGCCGGCGGGCTTGAGAACGGCACGGCCGGCGGATTCGACGAAGGGGCGAAAGACAATCCGGCGATCCACAGCGCAAAGTTGTAGTATTTCCTCAGCAACCAGCATGGATCAGCTCTAGGCATGACGAAGCCATATCGTCCTCTTTTGGAAGGCCAAACAAAGTAGTTTCGCTTTCACAACGAATCACACAGCTCCTTCATAACATGGCGGCAGCAACAATACTACAGCGAGAATAAAAGTTACGTCTTCTTTCTTTGCGTGAACATTTGGGCGGCGTTATGCAAATCTTCCCACATAGTGAGGTACGTGTTAGGGACGTGTTAGAACGAGCTGTTTTAGGTAGGCGTGGTTGACTCCTAACTTTTATAAAGAATATAATATTTTGATAATACTATAAATTTGAGACTTTAGTCTTTGCATCTTTACAGATCTTCTTTATGCACCAAGAGCTTGTAACACTCCAAAGAGAAAAATTGAAATCGCATCATATGACCTCTTTAATATTGGCCTAAAATAGAATAAAATCAAAATACATGAAAATATATAAAAATCGTTCATGGTTACTACGGCCCTACTAAAAACTACTATACTAAAAACAAAAACAAGCTGATTCCAAAAACAGTCATGAACAGCCACATTTAACCTTTTCAACATTAAAAAAGCTAAATTGAGCCAACTGAACCAATCTAATCATATAAACCATTCAAATGAACCCAATTCACTAAAACTTTCCGATGTTAAAACTATTAATGGGGGTAGAAAGGACATTTTTGATTGAATTAGACTACCTCGCACAGTTATAAATCTGTCTGCTCAATACAAAGTGACACTGAAAACAGTAATGTAACTTTTTGCTGGAAAAAGTAGCTTGTTCTTATAAAAACCAACAAAGGTTTGAAAACAGCTGAGCTGTCACACCAAAGAAAGATGTAGTTAGTAGCATTGCTACTTTTAGCTAGTAACTCCTCACACTGCAGTTCACTATATGCGCTGTGACAGAGGAGGACTTGTCCTCTAATTAATCTGGCATGTCTTTAAGCTCCAACACTGGATCACTTTGCAGGCCTGTTGAATAATTCACATCTCCTCCACGAGCTACTGTATGTCATAGGAGAAAGCCTGCGGTCTGCAGCCACCTCACATCCACGGCAGGAAATGGGGGGAATACAAAAAAGGAGCGACTGAGAGAGCTAGGGCAGGCGCAAGAGAGATTGAGTACAAAAATAGACATTACAGAGATAGAAAGACAGTGATAAGAACCACCAGACTGAGAAAGGACAGGAGGGAAGGATGGAAAGGCAGACGTAGACGGTGGTCTAAAACGGGCGAGAGAATCTAATGAATCAGCAGAGACTGTGAGTCCATCCCACAAGAGCTGATCTGGCTGACAAAGCACGAGGATATGAAATGTCAGTGCGGTCACAGTCTTTGTGTTCATGTTCCATTTAGGATGTGCCCAAGAACAATCGGAGCCCTCACTTCTCTCCCAGACTCCACATAATTATGGACTGTCTGCCTGGTAATGGGTTTTCAACAATTCCCCAGCACTGTGTGCCCTGTTGCAAATGCCATGACTTCTTATAAACACTGTTTACAATAAGCAAGGGATAACGTACAGCCGGCCCGTCATTATCACAAAATAAACACAGATAGGGTGACCAAACAAATAAAGCCGTGAACATGATACATTGATTTGAGCTGAAATTACTTTTTAATCTTACCTGTATGAACCTACGTACCACTAGGAAAAAATAATAATAATCCATCGCAGCGCACAATACAATTGGCCAAGCAACAAGATGAATACGGCAACAATATTACAGTAATATTAATACTAAAATCCTCTGAGGTCATTTTCATGATATATATATTTCATATATATATATTATATTTACATTTTTCTATATAAAGATAGTGTTTTCTAAGCTTGCAGGGTTTGTTAAAACTAGGCCCTGCTATATATCGTTGCCATGGATGACAGTCAGTATTTAAAAGATATTGTAAAATATTGTAAAATGTGTATTCCATAACACAATACCATCAAATGTTCTCAACATTGGTTAAATTGAATTAGAACTTATTTTTACACAAAATATGCACAAAATCGATGTTTGAAAACATAATAATATGGCTTAATTGGTTAACAATAGCTAATGCATTAGTTATCAAACTAATAATAAACAAGATTTATAGCATTTATTGATCTATACTGAAAAAATGTGTAGAAAACCTTTCACTCAGAAATTTAGTAAATTTGAAAATTATTTACAAAGAAATGGCAAATAACACATTGAATTAAATGTGAAATTTTTTAAAAAAATGAGTATTAAAAGTATTAGATTTTTTTTTAAATTATGGGTAAATGTTATATTATTATTCATTCAATATTGTTCATTGTTAATTCATGTTTGTTGAAAATACATTGTATACTAATGTATACAACTTCAAACCTAAAAATATATATGTAGCAATTAACATTAACAATTAAGATAGAAAAAGGTAAAATGATTTTTGTTGTTGTTATGCCATAACACCCAGTCCATTTAACTGTTGTAAATGTTACCTACATAAACATGAGGTTGAATAAATAAATGCTCCAATAACACAATTACAGTCTTAGAACATTTTATTGTTTGAACACCCATCCCACCCCAACCCTCAGTTCCCCATGAGATATATGCCTCTGTGTCCTCTGCCTGTCCCACAAACACATGGTTCAAAACACAGTTCTTTTTCCAGATCATTCAGTATCATACAGAAACACTTGGAAGGAAACAAATAAACAAACAAAACTAGGACCTGGCTCAACAGCTTCAAGAGTGGCTAAAGTCCTTCCTCTCTCATAGTGACACACTAGGGATAGTTATGCGGTATTAGCATCGAAGTGACTATAGAGACCATTAGAAGTTGGCTAATGTCTTTGGAATGAGCATGGCTATAAAAAAACAAAACAATCATTGGAGGGTTTTAAAGTGACTGAATGGGCCTTCTGAAGGGGCGACTTTGGGATGGCTTTTAGAAATCCTCCTCAGCTGACTGAGCATGTGTCAGATATTTTGGCGGCATATTCAGGAAACAGGTCTTAAACAGTACATTCAACTCTTTCTGTTACTTTTAAATCGTTAAATCTGACCGAACAAACTTTATTCACATACTATTCACAGAACACAAATATACATCTATATGTACACATACTTTCCACTTGAAATCGGAGTGTCCAGGCACTTTCCAAGAAAGTCCAAAGGGGGATTTGGTGAAAAAAAAAAGTCACAACATTGTCTGTGTAATCTGTTCAATCAATATTTTCTCTGGCTCCCTTAGAACAACAGTTTGTCCAAAAATGAAAATTCTGTCATCATATCGTCCCAAATGCTTTGTGTTTTACAGTAGAAATAAAGTCAGGTTTGGAACAACAAGTCGTGGCAGATTTCTCATTTTTGAGAGAACTGTCCCTTTAACTAAAACAGCTTGCTAACACCATCAGTCATTTGACGCAGTCGTGAGCCGTCAGTCAGTGTGGACTGAGGCAGGCTGACATCTGAGATGGTTTATGCGGAGTAATGTAATCATTGAGAAAACGCCTCTGTGGTTTGCTAACTTGGCATCTTGCTGATATGGCAATTTCACAGTTGGGGGTCATAATTTGAGAGATGTGTGTGTGTAATACTGATGTGGATACCATTTTATTTAGTGCTTTTAGTTTAAACTACTGTAATTAAATGGTGGTAAATACAGTTTGGTATTTTTATCACTGAACTCCTGGATGTCGTTTCTACTTACTGCAACTAAAGTATCTGGCACCTTCCACAAATTAATTACAAATTACAGCCTGAAGCTCTTTTACTTATTTTCAACCAACAGACAGTGAAAGAAGGCTGATTTTCACCCTCAGAAGGTCACATCAATTTTTATATAAGCTGTTTTTCATGTATTTTCTATGGGAAATTCCGTTACCAGTCTTTGGGAAATGTTTAAATCAAGTTTAAAAGCCAGATTGATATGCTTTTACAATGTGGCAACAAAAGATCTCAAAATTGTATTTAAAAAATAGTGTAAAAAAATGTAACTGCAGCATAAAATAAATAAAAAATATAGCATAAAATAACCTGTTGCTCAATAGGAGTGGAGCAAAAACAAAAATAAATTTTTGTTATATATGCCAAACATATACCTTTAATAATGGACCTCTGAGGTGTGAAAGGCCAAAATGACTATTTTAAAAAGAGAGACAGAAATTTGACTAGCTACCATGGGATTTGTACCTCTGATGCTTGAAAAACCATCATCAGACACCACAGTTCAGTATTCATGAAATGCACACTTGACAATCAGATGATAAAGCATTGTGTATCCGGCTATTAAAGTGGCAAATAAAGCACATCACATGCTGCAATGCAACAGAAATGGACTGTAAATGTAAACTTAAAGAAATGCTTTCAAAAATCTCGAGCCCAGGATTCAGCTGTACACGCAAAGCTGCACAATTGTTAAACAAATTCACTCAAAGAACACGAGTCAGTCCGATAAATAGATACAAGTGAAAAGAAGAAGATTGCCGGTGTTCCTTTTGGTCCCTTTTTCCTCACTTCTGACACAGTTTCGCCTCCGTTCCCATTTCGCAGTGCCGTTGTAAAAAGACTATTAACTGCGCTCGCTCAAAAGCATTGAGTGAGAGGATAAAGGTCAGGGTGTAATCCACCGCAAGCTTTAGAATGCCATCACGTCTGCCCCTTGTTAATGTACTTCCTTTGCTTTAAGCACACAGGGCCACTGTTAGCACTTGAGACTTACAACTTAAGACGTAAGAGATTTCCAGCAGACGTTAAGTATATATACAAGTGAGAGGAAAAAAGACAACAGTCACAACAAGATAGGAAAGCCACAGTGGGGCAACGTGGCCGCCAAACTCTCCTGTCAATCTCCTCTTGAGACATATGGCACCATATATAGTAATAAACTCCACCTCCGATGATACAAGAACCAATCCTCAGAGAAGAGACACGCATCGCTAAACGTTGGCGTCTTGATAGGCAGTTGATGGAAAGCTGTCTGCTGGTTGAATCTGTGTGGGCATGCATGTGTGTGTTTGTCCTTTTGGCGCTTTTTAAGGGGAACGGCAGGTGCCCGACTCCTTTTAAGAGCCACGGTAAAGGCGCCCGATTCTCAGCTCCACTGCGCTGCACATGAAGAGATCTTCTCCAAGTGATGTTTATTTCTGCTCTTCAGTCCAGCCAGCCAGGGAGAAACAGGCAGGTGTAAAATAAAGCTGCCGTTTTTAGAAACGGCCCACTATCTCTGCGAGCAGAGCTAAACCAACCACACTGCGCCAGGCTCTGGAATCGCTCACAGTTCTGAGAAAAATATGCTGAAAATATCCTAAACCGAAAAAACAGCCATGACACAGAAGGGTGAACATATTTAGATGTTTGGGGTAAAAAGGCAGAAAACTCTACTCCGCATTTTTTATTTATTTTTTTTACCATCTTCATCCTTCGGCTTTAGGATCTGATGTAGACGACAGAAAGAAGGTAAGAAGGTAAGCAGAGGTGATCGGGGGTGTAAGAGTGAGCCTGCCGGTGGTCCTGATCCATGCAGTGAGGTCAGCATGGCAGGGGTGGGGGGGGGGGGGATTCCGCTATCTGACCTCCAAGCAGTCCAAATACTCCAGAACCAGCTCATAACAGAAACGATACTGCTCCTGCATCACACAGACACAGAGAAATCAGAGAATTAGCGCAATAATTTGAGAGCGAACACTATCGTTCAATAGTTTGGGGTCAGTATATTGTTCATGAAGTCTTTACGTCTTTAAGTCAGAAATCAATAATCAATACTGATTTATTCTATCTGCATATGGTTTTAATTTTTTTGGAGACAGTTTAGTCTTCTAAATTTCACATTACATTTAGTCATTTAGCAGATGCTTTTATCCAAAGCGACTTACAAATGAGGACAATAGAAGCAATGAAAACCAAAAAAGAACAATAATATGTAAATGCTGTGACAAGTCTCGGATAGTTTAATGCAGTACACATAGCAAGGTTTTTTTTAATAATAAATAAAACCAAAACAAATAGATGGAATAGAAAAAGAATAGAGAACGCTAGTGTTAGTGGGTAATTTTGTTATAATAAACAAAAAGAAAGCAAGTAGATGGAATAGAAAAAGAATAGAGAAAGCTAGTATTAGAGTGTCATTTTTTCAATAAAAAGAAAAAGCTGAAAGAACAGAAAAAGAATAGAGAACGGTAGTGTTAGACGCTCATTTTTTTTATAATAAATAAAAAGAAAACAAGTAGATGGAATTGAAAAAGAATAGAGAATGCTAGTGTTAGGGGGTCCGTTTTATTTTTATTTTTTATAAAAAAGAAAACAAGTAGTAGAGTAAAAATAGAATAGAGAGTGCAAGTGTTACAGGGTCAAGTAAAAAAAAAAAAAAAATAAATACATTACATTTTTTTTAATTAACTAAGTTTTTATACATGAAACTATTAAGCCACTTTTCGATCTTTCCATCATATTTGGGGCTCTCTGGCATCCAAAAGATTAAAAACCCCTGCTACTTTCTCATTGGGCCCAAGGAATAGTGAGTGGGCCTGTGAATTTTCTGGATAAGCCCTGTTCTACTGTATGGACTGTAGCAAAACTGATGCTTTTGGCAACTGGCCATTTACTTCAAAGGCAAGACTTCCTCTTGTGATTTGTCTTTATTTTTTGCAACAAATAATCTCGTTATTATGTCTCTGAATAGATCTGTTATAGTACGATTTCACTGGTACTGAGCTTTTGTACCCACCAGTGTCTCCACCATGTTGGGCTTAGCGTTACGAAGGGTCTTGACAGCATAGAAGACGTCCACGATGTTCTGGTACTGGATCATCTCCATCAAGATGTTGCTAGCACAGTACGTGCCGCTGCGGCCACCACCGTTCCTAGACAGACAAGAATACAGCAAGCCCAGCTGTCATGAGCAAAGAAGAGACAGACATTGAGGAGAGTGGAGAAACAGATCTGACTGATATTCAGTCTACAACAGAAATTTCACATATCCAGTTAATATGAAACCAGCCTGCATGAGAGGCATACAAAGAGCCGTTTGAAGATCCGCCGAGGTCTTCTGCTATGTATGCGTATGGAACGACGGCGGCAGCTAGATGAGGCAATGGTGAGATAATCAATCGCAGTCAGTGCTTTGGCAGCTCTGGATTTAGTGCTGAGAAAGGCCTGTGCTGTTCTGTTTTAAAGCATAATTGATTTCATCTCCATAATCTCTTTTCTCTGCCTGTGGTTGGTAACACTGTGTGATAGTTTTGAGTGATGTGCATCTGGGCGACGATGGGAAGCAAATTCGTGCCTGGGGTTCCAGATGAGGCGGCTCGGTGGGCAGGAGGGGAAACGAAGTGTGAAGTGTGCGGTTAAAAGGGTTAAAAGGATAATGACCATGTTAACACCGAGGCTAAGATCAGCAAGTCTGGGTATGAGTGAAGTGAGTCCCTGTTCAGAAAATGATTTTTATTTTTTGTTTGTTTAATTGTTCATGCCAGAATATTGTTCATGATTTGTTTGCAAAGGTACACAGAAATAAATAATGCATATAATATATCTTATCTGGCTCACTGGCAAACAGAGATACGGGTCACGGCACACACAGATAACACTGTGAGAAGACAAGGATTAAGTGTGCTGTTCAAGGGCACAACGGCCGTCACAAGGAGCTTCAACAATGTGCAAGGCAGGAACGTGTCCTGATGGACAGTCCACGTGCTCTTATGAAATGCCCTGTGACATTTATCTGTGGCCAATCACAGTTTATGTGTAATTTTCAGATCACACAAATGGTATAATATTACAAAATGGAATATTCCTCTCATCAGTTCTCTTGTGCCTAGTCTTTTATCTCTTAATTTTTGCCGTTCAGTGTAACTGCTCTTTGATTAGTTCATTTATTTCTGCTCTTTAATGTTATTACAATGCTTTTATCTTTCCATTCTGTTCTCTTATATTTGATTTGGCTTTCTCTTGACTGTATATTATATGTAGGAGCTTATGGCAGGATTGTGCACCATTCAAAACTGAAACATCGCCCAGTCTGTAGGATTTTTAACATTTTAACGTCTCTTATGTTCAAGGCTGCATTTATTTGATCAAAAATACAGTAAAAACAGTAATATTGTGAAATATTATTATATTTTAAAATAAATTAAAATAATATCAGGTGAAATAAATATTGTTCTATTTTAAATATACCTTGAAATTGAATTTATTCCTGCGATGCCAATTCTACGTCATGTTAGATGTGGCCCCTTCAATTTACATTCACACTAAATTTAATGACCATCCTTTATTTCTGAATAAATGATACGATAATAAAATCTCAAATTGGGAAGTGTTTAAAACACACTGGCTTATGGATCTTCCCCTAACTATATTACTGCTGAAGAGTGCCGGTGCACCTGCTAGACTAGACATACATCTCACCTCAGGCATGTAGAAAAAAAAAAGATTTGTTTGCATCATTTGCTTGGGGAAACATCAATCAATGACACGCAGCAGAGGACACATGGTGGAAGTAAAAGATGTAGTTAAGCACAGCAGGACTGCACCATTAAGCTTTTTTCGTATCATTTGTCTGTATCTGATTAGCAGTGCATAAAGCTTATGACAGATTACAACATACAGTTGCAGGTATGTATTACTGTGCAGCAAAAATCAATAGACAGAATGCAAATAATCAAACCAAAACATTAACAAAGAAATATTAAATGTAATACACTCAAAAAGAGCAACTGTTTGTTCAGTTTAGCAAATTAAAAGCAGCTAATGCAACACAATTCTTGATCACGTTGTCACAACCTAATTTAATTGTGTGCAAATTTCATTTGCAAAATGGAAGTTTGCTTAATTTATTTGCATTAAGACTACAGAAAACAAAAAGTTCGTAGACATAACTAAATGTATTTAACTTTAAGATTATAACAAATCAAATGAAATCACTTAAGAGACATTGTTCAAAATGAAATTCAGCAGGCTGTAAATTAATAAAACAAATTAGTTTGTGTGTGGGATGTGTCACAATACTACTCACAGGCAGTGGACTACTGTACGACCTTCCCCACACTCCCTCTGCCACTTCTGCACACTGGCCAGCAGGTTGAGGAAGGCCTTTTTGGAGTCAGGCACGTCACGATATGCAGACCAGCGCAGGAACTGGAACTGGCACACGACCAGCTGACCCTCCTGCAGCTTCACATGGATGAGACGGGGAAAAGGAAAGGTCACGATCAGTAATGCATCACCAGCTGTGCACTTGGGCTTGTTTATGAATGTGTACAGTAGCGTAGGACTGTTCTCCATGCTGAGGTCTCAGCAGTGCCAAGTCAGCAGTGTTTAGGTTGTGATGAATGAGTCTGCTGGGAAAGAGTTTCACTCGGGTGGGGAAGAAACACTGTAAGGCTGGCACTAATACATGCCTGCTTTGGCTTGAAACAAAGGTGGAATTAATATAGAGCCCTGAGGCACACCCCAAAACTGCCCTGAGGATTGCTGTGAGGAAGTGAGCGCAGTGACCACAGCTGAACGACACACTTTAACAAGTTTGACATAATGATTTTTCTGCCAAAATGTTCTTCCAATTTGTAAACAATTTCTAGGACATACATAGACACCAGAATCAGTTTTTACTGATAATAATGCTCATTGATTCTCATTCATGTTCAGTTTCAATATGGTTCCTTTAGACACATTGTGCCATTGGTTGTTGCATATATCGTAACTGATTTACAGAATAGAGAATGTAATTGAAATTTAAGGACAAATTTTCCAGTAAATAATTTTTTTAACATAAACCAGGAATTACATAGGTTACGCACCTCACTAATAATTTTAAGTTCCCAGGATGTTCCGGCAAAATTAGTTTTTGGTTCCCAAAGCGGACAACTTAAAATTCTCTGTTGATTAGCCAGGAAAAATAATGTTTAGGTTTGGAAACATTCCAATGTTCTCCTAAATATCCTTTACCCTGCTGTACATCAATAATCAGCCTACAACCCATGTCTTGTTTTTATCTATTGTTTAATCAATCATTAAATAAACTAAGCACATCAAACATAACATGGAGGATTAAATATGCAAGATTTAATTTTTCCATTAACATGTAAGATTTCCTGGATAATCACAACCCATGAATGCCCATATTTATAAGCATTTTCAAAACACAAGTCTCTTTAGCAGACATGCAACAATGCAGAAAGAGCACCATTTTAAAGCAGAAGCATACAAAAACAGTAACACATTCTCTACCACATAATCTAAGTAATAGAGATGTCACATTTGAATAACACATGCACCCATCCACACACCCCCTTAATTCCCTCTACAGGGCTGGAAATGCCTTCCCCCCCCACTCAATCACCTTAGTTTCTAACACTCCACAGACACGCTGCATGCCAAAGCATTAAAACACTGTAACATCTGTCAAAAGTACAACGAGCTGAGAGAAAAATGCAGGAGTCTATTAGGCAAAGAGCACTGCTATAAAACATTTGCAGAGCAAAACAGAACAAAATTAGCCCTTACAATAATGACAAGCTGGGGCAAATTGAAAGTGGTAAAAATGACCTTCTGTGGCATGCTCATTAATGTATATTTCATATCTGCAGGCTTCTGAAAACTTATTTCAGCATCTGTCCTTGCCTGCGAAAGTGCCGCCATATGAAGTGTCATGTGCTGATGGTATGAAAATGGATATATATGAAATAGCTTTTCCTCTGTTCTTTAATTGCTCTTGTAGTTTTGGCTGACAAAATATATTGGACTGACAAACCCTATTTATTATACCACTTTATCTTGTAGTCTATTAAACCGTGATCTGAATGTAACGTGGCATAATAGCCAACAGAGTAATATAAAAGGCCTCAGAACGCTTTCAAAGCTTTTTAAATATTACATAAAAGTCTCAGTTTCCGCACTTTTCAAACTTGTGGAATTAAGCTGACGGTTAAATGGCACAACATAATGATCAACGGGTTCCAAGGTATGAAAAATGTATTATCGCTGAATATCATTAAAACCCTGTGGTGGTAATTCAAGGAATTCTCCCAGGAAATTACACTGGAGGCTACTTCACATTTTTAGAAAGAAAATGAAGAGGCTCATTTGCACAGCTGGATTACTTTTTACCTTATGTATACCTTTAGAGGCCCAAAAGGATGAAGTGAGTAAACTTTATTTCTAAAAAAAAATGCTTCTGTATGGTGTAATTTTGCATAATTGCTCAATTAAAGCAATTTTCTGAAGCGGGTAAAAATGATGATTAAGTGATTAACTTTCTGTTAACTTAAGGGTATATTAAGGGTCTGCTAGTGTTGCAATATAATGAGGTAACGTGAGAAAAAAAAGAAAAAACACTTATATGTAAGAAAGCAAATTATCATTGATGGAACTCACTCTTGTTACGTTTTTGACCCGGAAAAGCCGGGTGATGATGTCCTCATCTGCAGACATGGACAGAAACTCCACTTGCATAGGACCATACTGCTGAAGACCTGGTTCGGGCCAGTACTGCACACAAGGCTGGAAAGATAGAAGAAAACAGAATGTGACATAGGAATTAACAAATAAAAAGACACAGACAAAAAAAATTTTTTATGCCATAATTTAGCATTATAAGATCCTGATGACTTTTTTCCCAAGGTCATGCTTCTTTAATGGGTGTTTTAATCATTTTCCCGCTTCATGGAATGTTTAAAGTAAAATCAGAAGAATAGAGAAGAAAAGGGAAATGGATTCTGGAGGAAAAGTGGTTCTGAAAAGGAAAAAGTGGAAAGTGGTTTTAGATGGAATGGGATTGAGGAATAGGGGTTTATGCAGGAGTGGGATTTTGAAAGAATCTAGAACGAAAAAAAATCTACTGAAGGGAAAAGGATTCTACAGTGACCGGTGTTCTGAAGGGAACTGGAGTTCTGAGGAAAAAAAGTTCTGCATGGGAAAATAAAAAAAAAGGTTCTTGAGGGAAATGGGTTCTGGAAAGAAGAGGCTTCTGAAGTAAGTATATTTTACAGTGTAGCTGCTGAAATTATGATGATCAAGGAGGACAGTCAGAGGCCAACCCCCATAATCTAAAAACCTATATGGATTTCAATCTAAGAATGTGATATGAAATACATGAGATTCAACTGAATCAATATTTTGACTCATCTGTATTTGGAATGTTGCAGCCTTAGAATTCACCATCCATACATATGAAACGCTGTAGCCTTACTAAACCGAACTGAGGTGAAATTAAATGGGCGGGGACGGTGAGAATAGGCGAGAAAGAGGAAGAACATTAATGACAGCGAAGCAAGTGAGGTGATAAATATTAATACTTTTGGACTGCAGAGAGCAATCATGCGAATGAAGAAGAGGGAGAGACGTTAATCCACCACAGAGAGAAAAAGGAACAGATCGACTGCGAGAGTGACACGGAGTAACTGCCGGCATGTTAGCACACGTCAGGGTTTTCAGAGAGCCGTGATCGAGAAGAGCACCGGGACGCCACTCCGCAAACTCAAAGGGAAGCTGTATGTAAATGAGACTTGACTATACGCTTATGAATATAGAACATTTCACAGGGAGATTTAGAGAAGCTGGGGACAAAATAGCTTGAACGACTTCAAAGGACATGTGATAATGTGAATGCAAAAAGGCAACCGATAAAGATGTATTTTGAAGAAAAACTCCCAAAGTCCTCTTGGGCGCTGTTTTCAGTGGAACTTCTGGTGCTTTCACTTACCCAGGCAGAGTTTGATTGGTTCAGCTGATTCAGCATGACCACAGAGGTGCAGCCGTAGTCAAACACCAGCCTCCAGAAGTCAGAGGTCGTGCCGGGCAGCGGGTGAGGGGTTACAATGAAGGCAGCAGGCCGGTGGAAACTATCCATCAGTGCCGCGTTGATGTAGTTGTTACTTTCTCCCTCAGTGGTCACCAGGAAGGCGAGGGCCCTGTCAGGTGGAAGAACGTCAATATAAAAGTCACAATTGGGAGAAATTAAGATGCAATTATGTAAAGTTCTTTGTTTTTCCACACAAAGCAAGAAAATTCATAAAAACAAAATGAAAAAGCTAAAGAAAGAAAGAAAGTAAGAAAGAAAGAAAGAAAGAATGAAAGCTGAGTAGAAAACAACGTTTTCTGCTGGCACACTGGTGATTATAAAGATTTCCATTATGCACTAATAATATTGTGCATCTGGTGACTGCAGATGTGCCCCAACTCCAACAACAGCTTTTGAAACCAGCTTTAACATGCATTAAATCTCACTCGTCTAAACTATTACTGCTATTACAGTACCAAACAAAACTGCAAATCAGGCCAACATCATACACAATAAATGTAGTTTCTATGAGCTCATCAAAGTCAGGAAAAACCATGACACATGCACTGTTCTGCCTGTGCAAACCAAAAGGTAAAGAGATTTACAGTTCTCCACTACAGCCAAAGGAACCTCTAACAACAATTCAACAAAAAAGATGATGTCTACGTAAACATCAAAAATGTTTATATACAAAACCCATTATAATATCCTCCATCAGCACCTAATAACTATAGCACAATCTACACTCTGTAATCCAAAGCTGCCTTCCTGTACTTCTGTTTCAAAGCCTCAGTAAAAAATTGCCTATAATGAATGCATTATAATTCACCTGGAAAGTAAAGTCAGAAAACTGCAATGTAGAGGTAAGTGCAGGAGAGCAAGGATAGTTCTGCCTGCCTTCCCCTGAATCAATAAAAGTATTCTCTGCAACACATGTGGAGTGGTACATCTTTTATTAAATAACCTTCACTGGCCTTTCGCTCCCTGAGGATCTGTGGCAAAGTGAAACACGGCTGACTACTGCTCCCAATGGACACGGAATGCAAGGTATTTCTTCTATTACACATTTTGCTCTACTACCTTTATTATTTATGTTCGAAAGTCTATGAAAACAATTAAACTTCTGTAATCAATAGCCTCCTAGTGAGGAACCTTCACCCAAGATGCCCACGTTTCCAGTGTATACAAATGAAATGAAAGATTCTGAGTTCTCAAAGAGTTTCCAACATTCTGTCGTTTATTACATCTCAGTTTTCTCATTGTTATGTGTGTAGGTGTACATATGCTACGGAATGGCCCCGTGTTGCCGCAGGCCTCATTCATTGGAGTCAAAAAGATTATTTAAATGTCCTCTGAATGTCTAGCCACACTCAAAATACATTTATTCAACAGTATTGATCAATAATCTACAGGCAGCAGGTATGTCACACTTTGTGCAGCACAGAGTCTTGTTTGACTGCTGCCGTCAACCTTGCTTTACTTCATTGAACAGATTTAGCATTTATAGAACTTCATAGAAAGTTATTAATGTGTAGAGGAATCTGAAAAATGTAATTTCCCTTGATCTCTGGAAATAAGAGTTTAATTTATGATGTAAACAGCTTTAACTTTCAAAGCACAAACTTTCTGCCCTGTTCAGTTCATTTTTTGAAACTAAGCTGCAAAACCAGACCCCAAGAGTATTATAATTATGCTATAGCAAGTGATGTTCATTTATAACAAGGTCCCTAAACATTTCTGTTCAACATTGACTGTATAGCATGTTTCACTGATATTGAAGAATAGGCTGTACAACCTATGAGTAAGGCAGCTGTCTCTAAGACTAGTGTCATGTAGGACATTTCAGGTGACAAGCAATTTGTCTGCCACCACTGACTGTGAAACTGCTACACAATGTGACTCAGCCAAAACCAATGTTTAAATGAACAATCATGTGGGATTTTGCACCAATGAGATCTCACAATCAAGACCTTGGGGAGAAATTATAAAACGATATATTGTTGACAAAGACCTGGAACTCCTCTCGTAGCTGTGAAGAGTTGCTCTGAGAATCCACCCTCAGCATCTCTTTGTAAGCCAGGGCGAACTCGTTTACCGGGATGGCCGTCTCCCCACACAGACACGCCTCCAGGATGGCATCGTGAATAAATATGTACTGCTCCTGTTATATGGAGAGAGAAAGCAAAGACATAACTACACATGGTTTGCTGTAGACTTCAAATTTAGATTCAGACTTGACTGAAAGTGATAATGTCTGACTGGGTGTTATTACTCCAAGTTTAAGGCATTCATGTGAATTTGCTGTTGTGTGCATGATAGGCAAGACATTAATGCATTAATCAGCCAATCACAATGACAAGGAGGCACTGCTTTCTGTGATTTTCTTTTACCTTTATTTTGAAATGAGCTCAAGCGAGGCCTCCCTTGGAAGCACTTTCTGCTGGTGTTACAACAAATTTCATCTATTTCATAATATTTGCTTTGATTTAGTTTAATTTTCTCAACTGGATTTTTGGAGGAGGCACTGTCTTCCTGAGAAAACACCATTGATAGATCAAGTAAGAAAAGATTAGAAAAGGAATGAGGAGAACAGAAAAGAGAGGACTGGAGGAGAAGTGAGAATGCATGCAAGACAAAGGACAATACAGAGTAAACAGACACCGATAACAGAATTTGTTTAACCCCAATGTTTCGATGTAAACAAAACTTGTGGCATGTTTCAAAGTGCACTGCGTGTGTATACATCGCTCTACATAAAACCCTCGCGGATGGATTTAATTAAAGCAGCTGGTAAATAATTGCTAATGTTTTAAACAGTCAAATGACTGTGGGATTTACATAATAAAGTTTGGATATGCAAATTTTGGAACATCTAAGCAAAGGCACTTGCCTGCGCAGAGCGGACAGATGCAACAGAGATTATTATTTGCATTTCACATCTATCAATACACACTTTTCACTGAATTTCAATGCTAAAGATTCTGAATATTCATAGCGACTCCTACAGAGCTTATGACTATGCAAATACAAGGGATGTCATGTAATAAGTCTCCTGCAATAGCTGGTTAAAGGGAATTATGGGGAAACGTGAGAGTCTGCACCTCTGTTTGGATCATGTTGATGCGGCGAGAGCAGAGGGTCTTCACACAGTTGTAGATGTCCACCACTCCTTCACACTCCGCCATGTCCAGCATTACATCCAGCACGATATAGCAGCCTGTCCTGCCTGCTCCCACACTGAAGAGGAAAAACGAAAGACAGATAGCAAGATGTTCCTCAAAAATTATGACATTTGCTTTTTCTTTGATGGACATGAACTAAAGATCAGGCTGGTCAGCTGCCATAAGTCCTGTTTGACATGGAAGGATGTGAACATTCAAAGTCCCATGTAACAGCTGACAGTAAAAACTATCAAAATAGGTTGTTGACACTGTACAATGGTAAAACCAGATTTCTAGACAGGTATCATGGTCACATCGGGTTTTTGAACATGTAATATGACTTTGAGTTCCTTGGAGTATTTTTCAAGCAAAACATTTCACAAGAAGTTTGTTTGGTTTTATATTATATAAATGTATATATTCAGGTATATATTCACACAGATACCTTTTAAAAGATTGTGGTAAGTACGTTTTAAGCAATTAGGGTAAGTAACCAAGTAGTTCTATTCAGGGAGTATGCAACAAATTGATTAAAAGAGTCAGTAAAGACATTTATAATATTACAAAATATTTATATTTCAAATGAACGTTGTTCTTTTAAACTTTCTGTTCATCAAAGAATCCTAAAAAAGTATTACACTTTACACAAAAATATTACACAGCACAGCTGTTTTCAATGATTTCTGAAAGATCATGTGACACTGAAGACTGGAGTAATGGCTGCTGAAAATTTAGTGATTAATCGCATCTGAAATAAAAGTTTTTCTTTACATAATATATGTATGTGTACTGTGTATATTTATTATGCATATATAAATGGACACACATACAGTAAATATTTTGAAAATATTTACATGTATATATTTATATGATTATATTTTATATTATATATAAATATATTGAACATATAAACATAACATATTTTTCTTAAATATATACATGCATGTGTTTGTATTTATATATACATAATAAATATACACATTATACACACATATATTTTGTTAACAAAAACTTTTATTTTGGATGCGATTAATCACGATTAATCGGTTGACCGCACTAATTTTAAAATATATTCAAACAGAAAACAGTTGTTTTACATTGTAATAATGTTTCACACTATCATTGTTTTTTGATCAAATAAATGCAGCATTGGTGAGATTTTGAACAGACATATACATTTCTGGCTGAAAAACATTAGCAGTTCTAATATGATGAAATACAGAGCTCCATACCTGCAGTGGACCACCACAGGCCCTGCGTCAAGTGGCGTGGAGGATTTGACCCGCCGGATGAAGGCTAACAGACCCGTGGCGTGGTATGGGACTCCATGCTCAGGCCATGATGTAAAGTGAAACTGACATACTTCGTGTTTGGCGGAGTATCCTCTCTGAAAGACAAACAGGCTCCAAAAATTCAATTATAATTAATACGCATCAAAATTAATATATATATATATTTATTTATTTTTTGTTGCCATTTTAATTAGCGAACATTGAGATATAAGAAACTTAAACCCAAATTGTCCATACAAGCATCTTGGCTCAATGTGTAAGGGCATACCACCAACACCACGGCTCCAACATAGATATGCGCAATTTTTTACATTTTACTACTATTTTTATTTAATCAAGACAAATCGCAGCTGGACTGTTGAAAATTTCTATTGGCTCAAAAATCTGAGGTGACTCACTTCTGGAGTTTGTATTCCTCATGGCTCAAAGACACCAAGGCAAACTCAGATGAATTAGCAAAAGCGCCAGTGAAATAGACACCCAGCTCTGTGGTCCCACTCAGAGGAGGTGCGTACATCTACCTGACAGGCCACTAAGAGACTTCCTATTACAACATCCCAATTGCTCGTCTGTTTAAATACACACAAAGAAAGCTTCAGCCTAAAGCCTGTCTGATGGTTACGCCGAGAAACCTTCCCCAACATTCGACAAACACACACAAGCACATCATTCCACCCACAGCCTGTGTTTGATTGACAGGGCTGCGGCAAGCGCAAAACTCACATCAAAGGCTGTCGACAGAACTGCGCCTCCACAGGGCAGCAAAGAGGACGATAAGAGAAGACAGGGGGGTGAGGTGGAGGAGGTTAAATTGAGCTAATTTCAGAAAACGCACCCACATTTAGCCCATTGTATCAGAGAGAAGGAGAGATAATGAGAGAAGAGAGAAAGAGATGCTTTAGTTAATGTGCCCGCCATAAAGCGTTCTGAGATGAGGCAGCTCTAATCCTGGAACAGACAGCTCGGTGGGCCTCTGCTGGGTATCAGGCGCTTCTCTCCCTTTCATTTAAAGAGCTGTCACTCCAAATTCTCCACTAACACACACGCAAAATGGGTGCACACATACACACACACACACACACACACAATTCTACCCTAATCCCAGCAAAGAACCAATACGTATCAGCAGTGTTCAGTAGATTACTTAAAAATTGTAGTTCATTACTGAATACAAATTACATGATGAAAATTATAGTTAGTAACGTAATCTATCACATTCCACATTTTAGGTACTTTTTGATTACTTTTGACCTAACTCATTTATCATTGATTTGAATAGGATAATCTTAAACAATCAACAACATAAAGTGCATTAAATGCATTAAACATTACGTCAAGATTTCCCAAACTGGGGGTTATGAAGGAACTACTGGGGGTCCGTGAAAAGCTAATAATTAATCTTAAAAATGTTAAATAAAATATATTTTTAAATTAAAACAAGCAAAATAAAACATTAACTAAAGATTCAATATTTATTTTTCATTTATTTTATTCTTTATTGCCTCTCAATTTTACATGTAATTATAGTTGCATGACTAGTGTCTGATATTTGTGTGCAATACATAAGCAATAAGCGTTTTTTTTTAGAAAGGAAAATTTAAAAGATAAAAAAGATAAATTAGGAAGAATCAATGAATTTACTGCCATTTTGTGAATATTAAGTTAATCATGTTATCTATAAAAAAGTAACTGATTATAAAACAAATGAACATTTTAAAACACAATACAGTCTAATTACAAGTATTTAATTTTTTTAATCTGATTACTTAATCCAGATTACATAAAATCACTGCACTGCTCACTGCAGCACATATGAGAGATTATTAAAGGGCCAGAAATACTTGATTCTAATTGATCAATCATGGCAGTCAGAGATAAAATCATTTTGTATCATGATGCTAAACTGTATAGATGATATAAGAAAATTGATTTCCGACATGGCTGTGATAGTTTCACATCTCTCATATCACTCTCACTTAACAAAAGTTTTTCAACTCAAATCAATAATTCATGTCCATTTTATTTATTTTGTTAAGTAGCCATGTAATAAGCAGGGTAATGTGGAGTAACATGATACAATATTGGGGATACAAGACCTGATCACCCTGTCTGCATTTATTTTGTGATAATGGCCTGCTGACTGTACATTAACTCTTGCATAATAGATTGCATCATATCAAATGGCAGAGCAAATCTTTCTCAAAAAGTGTGAGAAATAAGAGCGTGTTGGAGCCGTGGCTTAGAGGTGGTATGGTGCTCATGCGGGAGATACAACCCTTCTTTTCCCCATCAGTTCCTGTCCTGTCTCTAGAGGAAGAGAAATCATTTCATACCCGCTCCAGGGCAAAAGTTCGCACTGTGTACTCCGCCAGAGTTTCAGTCTTCAGCAGTGTGATCTTAATGTCTCCGTACATCTCTGACTCATCTGGCCAATACTTGCAGCACTTCACCTAAAAGACAAACCAAGATAAACAAACTCAGGTTAGAAAACATTAGAGGTCCACAGCAGCATGATACTAGCGTTGGGTGATATATGATACTGTATATTTCAAATGGTTTTGCTGGCAATATAAAATTAAACAACATCATGAATAATGAGAAGATTTTAATGCACAATTAAGTTTTCTAAAAAGCATGTCATTAGATTAGTTTCATGATTCTTACTTGTGTTAGTATGAAAGTGTTAAGACAGATGTTTCGACAGCTTGTCTGATTAAAACGTCAGGAGCAAAAATGGTATTCAATTCAGAAAATTTGATTGATTTTCCTGTATCAGTTCAAACTGCCTGCGCATTAACTGATTAAAAAACTTGGACATATATTAGAATGTTTAAAAAAAAATAAAATACATGAAGGTGAATAGTAGTGCATACAAATGAAAAATATTAAATATAATTCTTTGAATAAATTTAATTCAATGCTACACAGAAAAACACCCTTGATTATTTTTAATCATCTTAAGATATTTCAAAGCAAATACATAAACAGAGATGTATACATTGCCAAAAGCTAAAAACAACATTTTAATTTGATATATTATACTTATATCTTAAACCTTCTGGTCTCTGAGTTAAAGCTTTACAGCAATCAAACTGATGAAGTGAAAGAACTCCCTCCTTGTGTACTGTAAACCAGGTTTATTTCTACACGCCTATTACCATTACACGAACTGTTAGATTTGCTGTCGGACCTAAGCCATCATCCATTTATCCCTGCTGTTCACAGCTTTTATGATAAAAAGGGAAAGCGTATTTTTCATAATAGAGCCCCAATTTCATAAGAGGGCAGGGATGGGCCGTTAAGAGGACTGTTGGCAGCAGACGCCGTCTCCGAAGCACTGAAGGAGCTGATGCGGGGTGTGGAGAGGAAAATGAAAGAGGAAATTATGTCGGAGGAAGAAAAGGAGGTGGTTTAACGAGTGGGCCACAAAACAAGGAAGCAGAATGCATTACATGAGTGTGGGAATTATGATACTTCAAATCTCATTTTTAGTTTGACAGCAAAACAGACGTATTTATATAATGTGAGCACGTGATAAGTGTACTGTACTGCACATAGCAAATGTATTGTAGTGGTACAGTGATGGTATCCGATGATAATATCACGGGACTTTAATTTACACCATATTGAATGCAGTAACAATAAAGTATCATGTAGTAGTACCATGGATTTTTGGACCGGAGTTATTTTTTTCATGTAATGGTAGATATTAAAATTCTACACAATTTTGTCTAAATAAATTAGAAATAAAACTAAAATTAATCATAAATGCTACTGTATAAGTGAATTTAGGCATTATAATGTACAGTGGGAAAATGGATATTCATTTTGGGATTCGCTGAAGATTGCATTTAAATGTGCTTTTAAATTATTATTGTTTTGAAAGATTGATTGTTACATGATGGCTACCATGTAAAATAGTAGAAATGAGAATGCACTTTTAAATATAAAATACACACCAATACAATAAATAAACAAATATAAAAAAAATTTAGTAACTGTAAAAGTAACTGACATATGCATAAGTGCTTCCCTACATGGCATTGTACATTTTATGGAACATGAACATGGTAATCATTATGGTAACCATGCTATATATCAGAGCACTATCATACCCGAATATCATGTAAGTATGATTATCATATTCATAAAGCATGGTATTTACATGATACTCCAAAGTCCAAATAAACCCTGTATTTTCATGGTGTTAAATGGTCATTTTTGTGCATACAGTAATCACATAAAAACATAAAAAGTAAAACTATGGTTTTATCAAGAAAAAGTGACCATGACTGATGAATGGAAAATGCTGACGTTAAATCAATTTACATATCATTTCCAAGCACAGATAAGTGCAACAGACCCACAAATACACAAAGATTTCGAGGTGATGACTGAATGAAATGTGTATGGTTGAGAATGGGTCTTTAGTTGATGGGTTAGTGTGCAGATGAGGAAGGATCTAGAACATACCCTGCCCACCTCCACTAGCTTGGTGATCATGACGATACTAAAGCAGTTTTCTTGCCAAACCATCCTCCAAAAATCATACACTGTCTCCTGCTTGGGCCCTGCAAACAGACAAACACACACACACAAACACACACACATATTCAATGAATGGCAGCCAGTGCTCCAGACGGCGGGTTTAATTTACCAAGTGTCATTGCATGTTATAAGGCAGTTCAGTAATCCAGAGCCTCACACAGAGTAATTCAATAGCAGACATTTCTGGTGAATGGATCCGTTTTTAACCTCAGCAGGATGTGGCTCTCTGATAGAAAAAACTAATTTCTCCCATCAATTGAGTCTGCCTCGAAATTCAATTAGGGGGAAAAGACAGACACACCACAAACATGTAATGATTTATTTATGGGAGATCTGAAACAATGAGAGATGAGGGTGACCTTGTTTTAGTAGAGCTATGAAAAGGATAGAGGGCGGTTCATGTCTGATGTTTCTCTCACATGCACACACATTGTTTCTTCTGTCATGGTGGGGGAATTTCCAATGACTTCTATCCTTTGGAAACTAAGCTACAGAAAGCTTTTTGCATGCTGAGAATGAAAGTAATACATTGTTTAGTATATTCATGAAGTCGGTTTCCTAGTAAGGACAGTTGGCTGGTATCCAAATGTAGGTGATTTCAGGTTTTATGGTCTTTCACTGTTTTACTGTCTTTGACCACACAGACTGTACATCATTCTACTTATTAAACAACTACTTACAAGATATGTAAACAATAAAACTTAAAATATGGCACCAGATTTACTAAACAGAGCGAATGCATTTCTATAAAGACCAACACAATCGACCAAGTGGGGCAAATATTTGCGTAGGGTCGCAGACAAGCAGAACTGATGATAATCAGGTGTGGGTAATCTACTAATAACACAGGCACAAAATGAGTAAAGGGGCGGTCACATTGCACTTTTCTTTCCATTGACTTGTATTCATACGCATGCGAATGTGTCAGACTGGAAACGCAAGCCCGTGTGAAATGTTTCGCTGCGCTCCAAAGTTCAAGCTTGGTGAACTCTGATCTGCGAATTAGCATCACGTGAAACCGTGTGACCAACAGCAGTTCGATACGTCACAGCATGACCTCTTAGCTGAATTTGAAAAGAACATACATTTAAAATTGCAGCGCTGCAGAATAGTGGAGTAGATTGTATGTTTTTACATTTTAGATGTATTATTATTTGTTATGTGTTGAATTTCGTTTTTTAAAAAGACGCTGCAGAGCATGACGTCAAATCATGACCAATGCAGCGTCCGAGGAAATTGACCCTTCACAAAAGTCCGCCCTCCTTGGTTACTGTTGCTAAAAGAGGGCATCTTTTTGGCATTTTTAATGCCAAAAAGAGGGTTATCATAGGTGCGTGCTGTTAGTAAATCTGTCCCATAAATTTTTTCAAATCAAGGATGTCCCTGAATGTCCTCACTCTGCAAAAATAATTTATTGAGCTGTATTTTTGTCTTGTTTTCCAGTAAAAAAATATCCTTAAACCTTTCCTTAAAAATAAATAAGCAACACTGCATAAGAATTTAAGATTTGGTTTCATATCGAATTAATTTGTATTTTTCTTACCCCTTTGGCAAACTGCTTTTTCTTGTTTTCAATATAAATTGAGTGATGTTTATGGTTGAATGGAGAGAAAAATTGCAAATTGCATAAAAACAAATAAAGGATGTAAAGGTCAAATGATTTTCTACAGATGTTCTATTATTCAAAAACAAGACAAAACTATTAGGAAAATGATTTCGCAGTACACACAATCTGTCTGAGATGAGCCAAGGTCCTGCAGTCATTGTGCTGGTGGTTTTGATGGGGATCTCGGGTAAGAAGACAGCAGGTGGTAATCCTGACTCTGCTGCACCATCTCTATTCACACACCTCTATAATTTCCTGGATCAGAACTCATTAGATTCCATCTGGAGGATGTCTGCGTTGTGAAGGTTTCAGTCTCATACACACACAAACCCAAAGGCTCAGACTGAAGAGAGGAAAGAGGCTATCCCTCCTGGGACTGGACACTGCCAGACTGAACCATATAAACACACACACACACACACATCCATCTATCCATCCACAAGTCTTGTCCAGACAAAGATACTCACCCTGAGTGGCGATGAAGTGGTTGGATCGATGGTAACCCTAAAAAGAAATAAATAGAGGTGACGTGCTGTGTAAGCCATTTGTGTCCTAGAAAAATCACTTGTATCTCACTCCTCTTTAGAGTACAAATGCTCTTCAGAGATCCAAGGTCTTTAGTTCTAGATATCCAGTTCAAATGACTGCTTTGAAAGCTACTATTTGAAATTAACCAAAATTTATTTGGACTGCGAGCAGAACCGTTTGATAATCTGTGGGTTACTGAGATAAAATAAGGGTTATCTCAACATGGCGAGTAGTTTCATCAAGTTTATTTCCTAGAACAGAAAATGAGGCTCTAAATTAGGATGACACCAGCTCTGAGCACACAAATCTACACTATAAGAAACCAAACAAAGCAAAACCTACATGAATCATTCAAACTGATTGACTAAAAAGAATCTGACCTCCCAACACTACTTAAGAAATTCTAAGGAAAGCCTGTTTCAGTATTGACAACATAACTTACTGCATATCTCAAAAGCTACATTAGTTTGAAAACTAAAAGCAAATTGAAAAATGTAAGTCAAGTTAGTAGGATAGCTAGTAGTGTTTGTTACTCTCTAACACTATTAATAAGTCTGAGGCACAAAGAGCAAACAAACAAAAAGGCACCCTGCTACAAAAGTAATACTCAATTGCCCAAACATAAAACTCATCATGGGGGACATGAGCTCCCTACACGATTCCTCTATCAGCTCATGTTTGGAATGTACAGGGAGAAAGAAACTCTAGGAACATCTCAAAACATGCAATTTATTCATCAAAGCTAAGCCTTTTCAAAGAACTACCTGGGGATGCTCCCAAAAAGTGGATCTGTTTTCATTAAACAGACGTTAGCGGAATAATAGAGACATGTTCTTCATTGTTGCTGAGCATTTGCTGCTCCATTTAGAACACTGCAGACGCCCACTACATTTTAGATTGGGCCAAGCTATTTCCTGCACACTGTACAAACAAACATAGAAACAGATACACTGTAGATGGAAAAAGAAATTGTGGGGGATGTTTGTTCCACACTGAAAGGATTCATCAGTCTATGGGGTTTGGAGAATACAAGGGATGCAGGGAAAACATTGGGAAGATAACTGGTCCAAAAGAGCTTTGTTCTGCTGATTCAGTAGTAAGCATGATTTTCTATTACTTATACCAGGGGTCTTCAAACTTTTTTTTTTTAATGTCAGGGACCCACAAATATGATGATCCCATTGTCAGTGATTCCCTACATAAAGGCAGCTACTGTACATATTTTCATGTATAAAGACTCAATTATATTGTGTGATAAAAAGTATATTATAAACAGATTAATAATTAAAAATGGATTTAATGTCATCATTAGTAAAAAAGCAAATTATTCAAATATTATATTGAATATGATAGATGTAAAAACCCAAAAACATTTTAAAATAAATGTAAATTTGCATATTTTAGTATATACACATACATTTCTTTTTTTTTTTAAATAGGCTGCCTATAAAATAAAATATGCAATTATTATTGATTTCAAACTTTAATGTCTTGTCTTTTTTTGACATTCTTCAAATGTGTGAAAAATGGATAATTAACAAGTTCATGCATTACCAATGACCTTTTTGTTTGACTTCTGAGTTTACATCTTGCAATTAATTTTTTTTGTTTCCACCACAGAGTAACAAATAATAAGTAATTGCGACTTTTTATATTTAGATTAATTCAGATTTTTCTTCTCAGAACTGCAAGTGATAAACTCATAGTTTATATTTTGCAATTCTGCGTTAATATCTCACAATTCTGAAAAAGTCAGAATTGCGGAGAAAAAAAAAAAGACAAAATGTCGCAATTGTCTTACGTTTTACCTTACATACCTATTTATAAGGTATGTTTTTGCCCCATGGTGGAAACCATACTATATAGATCTCAAAATCTGGCTTTTATTAGAAAGATAACCATGGTCAAAGAGCAAAGCGCAGCCATATAGGCTTGGGAAAAAAAATAAATGAAGGTGTAGTACATTACGCAGCAGTGCAAGTGGATTTATAGCACACTAACAGGGACCATCCCGCTAGAGAAAATGTGAGGTACGTGTTTTGCTCAAGGGCACGATAGCAAAAGGGGATCTCAGTAATGATTCAGTTCATGGGTCACCCTATCTGCCATCAAATCCATGATGATCGTATCACAAGCCCAAAGCTGCAACTATCCCAATGTAGCCGAAATGCAGCAATTTTTCAAGATGATGATACAATACATCATGCTTAAAGTTATATATTTAATGGCTGATTTGAAAATAGAAGGAAAGTTCAAAGGACACAGAAGCTCATTAAAGGGAGAAAAACTAAAAAAAATAATAAAAAAGGCTTGACAAAACACTTTACAACACTTAGCAACTCAAAACTCTGAAACAATGCTATAAACGCACTGCATAAAAATCACTCAAGACATCAAAATGGTTAAAGCAAAATGTCTCTATTTACTCATTTAACATTTTATAATAACTTTCAAATCAACTAATTTTTTTTTTTAATATTCTCCTCATATTCATATTTAAAAATGCACAACTACTAATCTGTTGTATAATGATTATATAATTTTATTTATGAAAGTTATTATGAAGTGTCCCCCTGCTCTTTTTCATACATTCATCACCCAGAATAGGAGCTCTGCTGGAAAAAAAAATGGCTTAAACCAGCCTCAGGTAGTTTGCTGGTCTTAGCTGGTTTAATCGGGTCTAGTTAGTCTCCCAGCCTGTCAAGTTGGTGTTTAGCTGTTCGGTCAGATGGTCTTCCAGTCTGATCAGCTGACAAATGCCCCAAACCCATCTAGATCCAGCAAACCTGCTTTTTTTGTTCAGTTTTAAAGGTGCATTCTATTGGCGCATGAGCTGCCTGTTTATTTTCTTCAAATTTAGACTTTGTTAGACTTTAGCAAATCACTGTTAGATAACACAAAGTTTGATTCTGCTGAAGTTGAGGTGCAGTTCAGTTGCATAAAATTCATGGATTGGTAAGTTTAAAGGTTGGATTCAATCTTACAGACAGCTGAAGACAGCTTGGATGCGGGGGAAAAAATCTGGTTTTAAGGAGGTTTTAGGCACTTTTCAACTGGTCAGGTTTGGAGACTGGCTTCTTACCTGAGCACCAGCTTGGACAGGATAACCTTACACCAGCTAAGACCAGCAGACCCCCTTTCAGATGTTTTTTTCAGCAACTATCCTACCACAAAGACTAACCTCCTGACCTTTGACCCCTCTCTCCACCTGTATTTAAAAAAAAAAAAAAGTGGAAATGTAAAGGTGAAGAGAAGATTTTTTTTTTTAACCTGAAACTATGAAAACTAGGTACCAGTAAGAAATAAGAAACCTAACAGATGGAAGCTAAAAGTTTTATGCATCCACATTTAGGGACAAATATAAAGAAGATCTGTGTGACACAGAGCCACTTTTCTTCATGTTTAAGTAATCCAAACAGAGCAATGCCATGACACAAAAGGGGGGAGAAAAGAGAGCTATGGGGGAACAGAGGGAAATAAAGCAGAGAGAAAGAAAAGAAAGAGCAGTGAAGTACTTACTTCCCTGTTTATCCGAATCTACAGGGTCCAAGAGTCGAAGAGGTGGGGAAGGGGGGTAGAAAAAGACAAGACAGACTCTAGTTAATGAGAGGCTGAAGAGAGCTAGAGGATTAACAGATCACAGACAGAAAGAGAGAGAATTAGAAGAAAGAAAGAAAGAGAGAGACTTGTATTAGCCAGCTAAGCTCTACGCCAGGGGACAGACACTTGAAATGGAGGCATATATTTTGGATGTGCAGGTGGGCAAATCTTTGCACACTAAACTCAAAGTGTGAAGTGTATTATTTTTTCTGCCTCTAGCATCATCAAACACAATTGAAAAATAACCATTTATTTCAAACAGGCTTCCGGGACACTCCTTCCCTCTGCCATTGGTTGGACAAACTGATAGCCCCACCCCCAAACTCACTCCATTGGTTGAGTCAGTGTTGCTATGTGGGGCTGGTTCAAACAACAGAATGTTTTTAAAGTGCCTTTGCACTTCTCAGGGAAATCAACAAAAAAATGGCTTTCAAAGACTAGGAAAGTATTTTAATACTGAAAAGATTACACACTTATCTTTTAAATTACTCCATTTATTCCTGTGTAAGCAAGTTGATTCAAGAGGTATTCAAAAGGAAAGGACAGCAATGAAAAGGAGTAAACACATTAAACAACAGAGCTGCACTCACTTTAATATGTTCCCTAATAGCCTCTACATACTGCCAAGTTTACCAGAAACCGTAAAAATAAGTATCCTGTCATCATTGGTCTTTTCTTGACTTTTTGTGCTCTTTACACTCAAGGCCAAAAGAAAAAGAAAAAAAATTAATTCTTGTTAAATTGGCCTATGCTCTCTTTTGCTCCTGTATATTGGTTCATGCTGAAAACACTAAAATGTCTTAGCATTTGAAAATAAACTGATATTATGGCCAATTATGACGTAGACAATATACTACATACTGTATACTACAGATGTAATATAGTTACATATGTGCATTCATTCGTGACTATTCTTTCTCTTCATATTTCTTTGAAATCACTCAATGCTACACATACTTAATAAACACCATAGTTCAGCAAATCACTTGCTGTATCCAAGGTCCTAATAGTCAAGGTGAGGAAATTAGCATCTTGTTTGAAACATTTTGAAATTGATAGTTTATGAGAATTCAGTCATTTTCTCATCATCATTTTGAAAATTCAACCATTCCTGTTCCACAGAAGGGGGTCACACAGGTTTTGAATGACATTGGGGGTAAACGGATGAACTATTGATTTAAGCACATAAGTGGAGAGGGTCCCATGAAGAGATGGTGGTCCTGTCCAACCAGGTGCAAGCTTTGAATAGCAGGTTTATAGAGGGCAAGGTTGGCTGACCATCTGTGCCCACCTGCCTCTTTATTAAAGGGGAAATCGGACACAAAATGACCCAAAAACACTTTGCCACACATGTCGGTAGGCAACGCTTCACATCTGACCACGCTCTAAAATCCTTTGGGAGGTCAGATATGCCAGGAAAGGAATAACAACCAAAAGTTTCACCCATCACAAAAAGGACAGCTAGTGGTCTGAAAAGTTTTCTATCAAAAGAGATATGATGATATGTCACATACAGTATGGCAAGGCTAAGGGAGAGTGTCCACAAATATCGAATAACCTCCAGGGAAGCCACATAATAACTGAAACTGAAACAGTGTGAATGTTTGTGAGTCTGGCTGAAGACAGTATGTGACTACTGACTTACATCGATGTAATTGGCATTGATATAGTCGGAGTTGGGATCACCTAGCAGCGGGTGCAGTTTCACCCTGTGACGGTCATCTGAAACACAAAAACACAACCGCATGAGCACACTTTGTGGTGAACAGTGAACAGCAGAGGCAGTATGTGCAAATAAACAATGCTGTCAGCTAGTGAATTTCCAAAAGTGAATTTCCCCCTTTTACTTTCAGGAACATCAAAGCGTTACATTATCAGACATTTTGAAACTGAAGTTTTAACATCCATAGAATGTCTAATATTTTTGTACGCATACAAAGACTGAAAAAATTACTCACAACCCATCAGGGTATCGTGCCTTCCCTTAGTTTTATCCTTCTTCTTATTGATATCCCAGCCATCAAAGAAGCTCTACAAATATATGATTGAATATAAAGAAACAGAGAATGTGTGTGTGTGTGAGAGAGAGAGAGAGAGAGAGAGAGAGAGAGAGAGAGATTTGTTAGTTTTATAAGATCATTCTGATAGACTTTGTCTAAAATGCATTTTATTAAAGACAAATTTGACATAAACAGCAGTTAGACCAGAGGTTCTGGATTACTTTGCAACCCAAAGACATGCATTTTGTGATATTACATTAAGCTACATTTTAATACAATTCCACTTTCAAGGAGGATAAACATGATTTCATGCTCCTGCTGAACACAAAAAAGGTCATGTGAACAATTTTTTTTTTTATGTGAACACTTCTTTTAATATCTGCAACTGCATATATTACTTAAAAATGTTTTAATTACACAGTGGACACCAGGTAAAGGAAAACTGAATGTTCAATATCATAGGCACAGCATCAGGTAGACCAAAAAGCTTCTAACTGAACTGCTTTGCATCCTCGTCTTGTTTTAAATTCTCAGACGCTCCCAAACCCTATCAAATCTAGCATTCACTGAAATATAAATGTGAATATTCAACATAAATTTCCACTTCAAACTAGATCTACTAGGTGTAAGCATTTAGACTGCCAATTCTAGTGAACTTCTATATATATTATATATAAATTACATAAAAGATGCCACTTGATTTATTTTAAGGGAAATACAGCATAAACAATTTTTAAACAAACCATTCATATATTCAAAAGAATATATATATATATTAGATATGCCTTTCTGGTTAATACTGCAACACCTTTTTACTTGGAGGACAGACATCTACTCCCTGTTTTCCACTCTATCTAAACTAAAGATCCTGTCAATAAGCACTGATCAATGGACTGTACTTGTGGTCCGCAGGGAAATAAAGCTTATGAAACCCTGCAGTTACATTTGTGTGCTCTAAATCTCTGTTTTTTCCCCCGCTTATGAAGCACAAGACACTGACCTCAAACACACACATACGCGCACAGTGTCACTATGTCCAGGAAAGTGCGTATTGATTTTTGAGCTGAATCTGTTTCACACTGGGGGGGAGAGTTTAATGAGTCCACAAGCTGAGCTCCTGAGAGGCAGGCTAGTGGCAGAGCTCTGATTATTTGGAGGGATGTTTTGTCTCGTAGCTCTGTGGACAACAACAGATAGAGGAGAGTCAACAGTCCACACGAGTGCGGCACCAAGAGGAGATGCTCAAGCCGCATTTTGAGGAGAGAAAATTAGTCACGGAGGAAGAGAGGGAGGAAAAAAGATAGCAGTGTAGTGTGCTCTTTGTGCAGTAATGCTGAAGGGCTGTGTGACCTCTACTTTCATCTCAATAACTGCTCCTCTATAGTCCATGAGAGAGTGATGTCAACCTGTCCGTGAAGAACAGCTCAAACTTACTGCTCTGAAAGTTGGCCAAGTCACAACTGTGATATGTAATGTACAATACATCAAGGTTCATTACACACTGCTCTTTTACAACATATACTTATCACTTTACATCAGATTTGTTATTGTTAAGTAAAACTAAAACTGTTAAAAATCGTTTTCAGTAATTGAACTAAACCTGTAATAAAACTAAATGTAAATATTAGATGAAAAACATACCGAAAAATTTGAAAATGGACATAAGTATACTAAAAATATTGAAACTACAACTAATAAAAATGGTATACCTATATCGAAATATACCTATATAGAAATATTCAAGCTTTTCTAAAGTAAAATATTAAAAGCACATAATAAAATTACTAGACTTAACATGAAAACTGAAACTGTAAAAATAAAAGTTAATTCAAAATATTAATAAATACTTAAAAGTATACAGTATAACTAATACTAAACATTGCCTCAAAGTTTTATTCCAGGCCAGGACACTAGCTAAATCTCAAATTGAGACTAATTGGGTCCGTACCCTCTTAAAAGAAAATTGCAAACTATAAGTGTAATTGGTAACATTTCAGTTTAGGGATCAATTTGTAATTAATTAATTAACTAATTGCTTATTAGCATGCATATTACTTGCATATTGGCTGTTTATTAGTACTCATATTGCACTTGAATGCCTTATTCTGCATGACCATATTCTACATCCCTAATCCTACCCAGTATTTAAATTTAACAACTACCTTACTAACTATTTATAAGGAGTAATTAGGAGTATTTTGAGGTAAAAGTCGTAGTTGATAGTTAGTGAGAATTGGAACTTAAAATAAAGTGTGACCATGTAATCTGATCTGAATAATCTTAGCGAGTTTAGAACTATTGTGAAATAATAATAAAAAATAAAAAAAACCTTTGGCTGCAATTGCTTTGTTATGAATGATTATTTTTATTTTCTACTCTTATTTAAATGTTTTTTGTTTGTTTTTGTATTAAGTATTTTTGATGCCATCTGGATCTGACTACTAATTATCTTGGCCTTACCTCTCTTGTAAAATACATTTAAATCTCACATGGAACAACCTGTTTTAAGACAGGTTCAATTATAGTAATAAAATGCAACATACAGTAATAAATAGTAGAAACATTACTGAAGTGCTTTCATTTTGGAAATTTTGCCCAAACACAGCACCCTACCAGAAAACTGAGCTAAAAACCCACTTTTAGATAGTGGATTTACATGTTTTTAGCTGGTCTAGATGATTGTTGAGCTGGACTACCAGACGGGGCACCCTGTCGACTGTCTGTTCATATTGCACACAACACTAGAAATCACTTTCTTGATCTATCAAGCTATAATCTGCCATTGATTGTCAGATAAGTGGCATCATATCTTTGAAATTGATCAAATTATATCACGTTAACAAGACACATAAAAGCAGAAATCCAGTCTAAGTATGCAGTTCTAGATCAAACTTGTTGAAATGTGGACCAGACCTTATGTCAAATGTCTGGCTATGTAAGACCAGGTTGAGGTCAAGCTGGTTTGGGCTGGTAGATAAGCAACAAACAAGCTACCATGTTCCAAAAAACATCTTGACTACCTTAAGCTGGAATGAGCAGCATTACTTCAGCAGGGCATGACAACAGTGTGAGGATGTCATATTGTGGAGAAGTGACAAGAAGTTTGGAATGTGTGTTTGTGCATAAACATGCGTCTTTGCATTAATGTGTTTGTGTGTTGGGGATTGGATGCAGAGGTCTGTTTTGACAAGGCTTGCAGACGGTGAGTTCTGGAGGCTGGAGATCTTCCAGCCAGACATCTGTTCGCACTGACAGGTCCTAACGCAACGGCAGCTCCCAGATAGACCGCATTGTAAGCAGCACTAAAGCCCAAGAATATTCTGACTTCTTTAAATGAATCAGAAAATCTGTGTGGGCAGCTGTGAAAGATTTATTTTATTATGACTAAAACCTCTTGCCTGGATGTTTTTAAAAAATATACTATTAAAGCCGAAATAGCCCAATAGATCTGGTTTCCGCTGAAATAAAATTTAAAACCAGCTGTGCCAAAGCATTTTTTTGCTATTTAAGCAACAGGTGCATCTACAAGGAGCAGTTATTTCAATAACTCAGTATTACAATTCAGTGATTGTATATGAAAATATGCTATACAGTATAAATGAAACACTACTATTATTATTGTTAATATCTCATTAACTTGATTTTCTGTAGGCTTATATATAAAAAACATGGTCAAACAACAGCTAAAGAAGGGTATTTGAAGACTAGTCTCAACCTTGGCACACTGACAGACCATTCATGAACCTTAGAATTAATAATTCAAACCAAAAAAAAAAAAATCAATAGCTGGTTGAAACCACCAGTTCCTATCCAATTAACTGGTTTTGTGCAATTTTTTGGGTGCAGGATGCAAAGTGAGATCCTAGGTTGCTACTATGAGTGCTACTGAGGAAGAATTAGTAGCTGGATTTGACTAAGTTATTCAGTGAGTAGCAAAGTGTCATTACTGTATATCCTATGTTGTTCATACAATTTCCTACTGTTTTAAGATAGTAAATAAAATGGTTAGTCACACAACATGTTGTTCACAAAATAAATAAATAAATAAATAGGTTACTTCACATATCGGTCAAAAATTAAATAATAAAACAAAATAATAAAATAACAAATATTTTTATTAGCAAAATAGTAGATTTTAATAAAATATTCACTATTTTGCAAAAATAAAATAAAATGGTTAGTAACACAACATGATTTTCACAAAAATAAAATAAAATAAGTATATAAATTAAAATAAAATAAACAAAACAAAAATATATTTTTTTTATTTGCAAAATAGTGAGTAGTTTTTTAATAAAATACTCACTATTTTGCAAAAATAAAATAAAATGGTTAGTCACACAACATGATGTTCAAATTTTTTTTTTTAATAAAATGACAAACAAAACAAAACAAAACAAAAAACAAAACCCACCTCATATTCCTGTTTAAAGCCGTAACCTTCTGCGGTTTTCATCTGGTTGATGTGTTGTAGGAGGTCAGCCACACGCACTGCCGGGTGAAGCTGACCCGTGTGATAGGGCGATCCTTTACGGCCACACTGACGTCTAGGCGATCCGCCCAGAAGACTGCTGGACTCATTCATAGAGCTCCGTGGATCACCTTAGTAAAAATAAACAAGCACAGAACAAATGTTTGCATGCCATCTTTCATATAAGGATATAAAATAAACACAGCATAGGTAACAGCTATACCTGAAGCAGCTCAACTATATTAGAAAAGTTAAAAAAATAACCAATAAACATTTTATAAAAACAAAAACTCCAAACAAGTATAATGGGGTTAATCGGACAATTATCATCCCCTTATGGCACTTCATCTTCTATGTTTATAATTGGTATTCATAAATATGATCAGGGAGCAATTATGAATTCATGACTAGGGCTGTGTATTCAAATAAATTAGCAGTCTGCTACTCATTTCTCAATGGAAATAGGAAAGAAGAAACCCAGACAGTATATTCCAAACAGCAGACACTTAAAATGTGGCAAGACAGCTCTGAGACGTGCCATTAAAACTTAATTTTGATCAAGAGATCTCTCTCTTTGAGACATCAACTATTCAGTGCCTGCAGAGTTAGACACCTTTGAATTGGATATTATTAGCATTTTTCAACTTTTTATTTTTTTGCATGCTCTAATTTCTGCCATATTGAAAATCTCGACCATGATGCCTTAAGGACGAGCTTCTGGTGCAGATCTGAGTCCATTTGCATTTCATAAACTGGTTGTGTTCGCCAATGTGTGTTTGTAAATGCATTTTTTAAGTATACTATTCGTTCTTCCTACTTTTCCATGGATTTGTGTTTATATTAGGATTGATAGTCTTATGTCAGGGGAGAATGAGTGTTAGATTTGGAATCATATGAAAATTTACTACATCAACAGCACTACATCTTATATTTAAGAGTTATGAAAGACTGAGTGATTACAGAAGGACTGTGGCTTTGATGAAGCTTTCACACTGACTACAAATGAGGACAAATTAACAGGAGGTGACCCAGTAAGTCCCTGAGCTTCACTTTAACTGTGTGCGTGACTGAAAGTCTGTATCCATTAATTTGCACTCTTTGACGTTAGTGCCTGATACTCTTGTTTTTAGCACCCGTAAGTGTGAGGAAATAAAAAAGTAAGAATTATTGAACAGATTTCATCATTATGCTTGTGTTTACCTATTTTTTGCCTTTACTTCAAAAAGTTTTCAACTAGGTTCTTTCATCTGCTTAATCACAAATTAAGTGTTAGATTAAGTCGAATGAAATTTATAGAATATCTTTTTTATACCGAACACATAGAAATAGTTGATTGTTCAGTGAAATATCAATGCATTTTAGATAGGGATGCATGATATTATCGGAACGTTATCGGAATCAGCCGATAAAGGCTTAAAATGTGAACATCGGCATTGGCCGATTTGGAAAAAAAATATGCAGAGACGCCGATATGTCTTGTCGATAAGACGGATAGCTCACATGTGCTCATGGTGTGATAGTGATAAGATCACGTCAGCAGTGTGGTCATTCTTGAAGTTAATTTTTGCCTGAATGATGATTAGATTCACTGTTTTGCATCGCTGCATTTAATTTGAGAATGCATGTACAGAACGACATCCGGTGTGCAAGAGAGTCAACAGTTTCTAGCATGTGCAGTAGCAGCAGTGGCAGCCTCCCCCGGGTCCTAATGCAGTCTGGTAAGGAGTTTTATTTACTTAGGGGGCACTGTTGGCCTACTTGTAATAAAATTAAAGTAAAATACACAAATATCATTAAGATACTTGTGTTTTTAAATAAATAAAGCAGTATCGCAGTATTTACATGAATAAAAAGCACAAACATGACACTTGTAAATTAAATAATTTAATACAGATTTATTCAGTAATATGTAATATATTTTTCAGATTGATTATGAAAACATAAATACAAGGAGCTCTAAAAGATTAAAACTTTTGCTTTAGACCATACGGGAAAAAAACACAGCAGAGATTGATTATTGGTTATTTTCAATGTACTCTCATTAAAAAAATTACTTTAATAAAGTTTATTACTCCTAACAAATAAGTTTTTGCTCAAAACTACCCAAAGTAAAAAAAAACTATTTGTTTATAATCTCCGCACAGGAGAGACTTGGTGTTTCAAAACAAAGGGAAATATATATCGGTATCGGCATCGACAAAAATGATTTAAAAATATCGGCATATCGGATATCGTGCATCCCAGTGTTAATTTTGACAGCAAATTTTTATTTAGTTTTAGTCACAGTCTTTTGACTTAAATGCCATTTAGTTTTAGTCATATTTTAGTCACCTGAATTGTTTTTAGTTTTAGTCTAGTTTTACTCGACTAAATATCATAAGATTTTAGTCGACTAAATCTACAGAAAATGTAGTCGGCAAAAATCTAATGGGTTTAGTTACGGTGTAATTCATTTATTAAGCATTTCTCTAAAATTTCCAAACTCATTATATAGGTTTGATATTAAAGGGGTCATAGGATGCCCATTTTCCACAAGTTGATATGATTCTTTAGGGTCTTAATGAAAAGTCTGTCACATAGTTTGGTTAAAATTTCTCAATGGTACTGTAAAAAACACCTTTTTTTACCCTGTCAAAAACAGCTCTTTTCAGATCAAGCCATTTTTGTAATTTTCCTTTAAATGTTAATGAGCTATGCTGACCACGCCCCACTCTTCCGAGCTGCTCTCAGAGAGATTCATCGTGAAACTTGCTAATTACGTCACACAGACAGGCATCTGAGATCGGCTCGATTTGAGAAAGGGGAAAACCTTTAACCAGATAAAAAAAAAAAAACACTGGGTGGATTTTTATCATTATAGCGTGGTTGTGTACACACACTGTCAACACACATTTCAGTTCAAACTACTTTTAAAAGTGCATGTAGCATTCTATGACCCCTTTAAGGTTTTATCATGATAGACACCAATTTAACTGCGGTGACACGCAACATGCCTTTATGTTAAAATTAAATAAAACCACTTCTCATAAAGAACAAGAACATGGTCTTCTTTTTAATGAAATATCAATGGTTATATAGGCTAATTATGCATTCTTTATAGCAACTTGTTTACCATATTCTTGATTCTTTCAAGCAGACATATTTATTTCTGTAAATAAATTTAGATTAATCTTTAGGGCTACTTAAGTTTTTCAGTCAAGAGCAGTGAGTGATTTTCTGTCTTTCTTTCATTGCTTGATTAACATCAATGACTCTGACAATTGCAACTAAAGGCTAGGCTTAAAAAATTGGCTGCTGTCCAAATGCACAGCTGCTATGGATGCAATGTACTGATACACGTTCTCCCTACTGTTTACGTTCACTTAAGACGTAATCAACTGTGTTTACGTGAATACTCATCAAAACGGACAATTCGACATAATTTTGTGTGTAATTCTCCGTTCATGCGACGCGAAAGAGTACTCGCACTCTGTGAGACGCGCTCTCAGTGTGTGTGTATGCTTCAGTGTCTGCGCTTTGAAAACTGGACCAAAATGAGTTCTCTCTTGCATCGTCAGATTTATCTATATGTCTGCTCTTCTCTTACTCCCACATATTGACATTTTTGAACGTTTTATCCGACGTCCAGCAAGTGTATTTTAGCTTATGTCCCGCCGGCTCAAATGTACACATCTAACCTCCGAACCACGCAGCAGATTCGTTCTGAAATTGAATTAATCTCTTCCCAAATCGTCCCTCCCTAACATTTTCGTCTCGTTTTTATTCGTTGACGAAAATGTCAATATATTTTCATCATAGTTTTTGTCATTCAAAAAGAGTTTTAGTTCGTTATCGTCTCTATGTCGTCAGTGAAAAAAATGTCCTTGACGAACATTATAACGAAAATTATTCGTCAACGAAATTAACACTGGTGCATCCCTAATTTTAAATTTTAAAACAAATGGAAAAACAGCATAAAATTTGAAGAAAAAAAACATAAAAGTCTTATATATTACTTGGGTGCTTTATGTTTTTTTTTTTTTGAGAAATAGACTAAATTTAAGTTGTTATTCTCTGATAAGCTGTTAACCACTGACTGGACCACTGATTCATTAAGTTGAATCACTGAAAAGATCTGACTCAAAAGGCAGATTCTTTTCTGAACTGGACATAATTACCTCAGTCATGAACACACACAGTCAAGATTTTCAGTGAACAATGACTAAATATCTGTCTGTTTCTCACACAAAGCTATCATGTGGCTTCAGAAGACTTTTATTATACTTTCACGGTTCCTGGTGTCATTTTGGAGCTTGACAGCCACAGTCCTCGTTCACAGTGATACTCTTTAAAAATTCTCCTTTTATGTCTCACGGAAATGTTTGGAACAACATGAGGGTGAGTAAATGATGACAGAAACGTGAAACGTGGGTGAACTATTCCTTCATAACTTTAGACCTACTTCAGTCCCCATCATGCAATGCAGCATGAATCATGGATTAGTTATATGGATTACTGTTTACTGCTTTCATGCTTTTGTTGATGTGCAAGTTGTCGCTCCCCATTATTTGTCAGGAGTATTAGCTCTGTAGTCATTGTTTCAATGTGCAAGTTCATTTAACTGGAATAAATGAGTTGAAACAAAGCAAGACAAGTGCATGCTACTCGGTTATTTGTTTTTTTCATGCTTTGCGTCATTAATACAGCAGATTACATAGAGTTTCTGTTCAACGAACAACCCAGAATTAAATCCACGCATATTTAGGCTTTAAGGCTGCAATTAAACTCAAGTTCAAGTCGAGTTGTGTGCGCTGGTTTTGTGTCGTGTCACATCTTACTGCGAGTGCTGCACGTATGGGTGTCCATAAATGACAAGGCCATCCTCTCATCCTCCTGCAGAGTGCTCTGGTCAGTGAAACTGCGCTCCATGGAGCCCATCATATTACTCTTCTCCTGCCTGTAAGTAATGGGGGTCTTATTCATGTTCACCGGCTTCCTACTGAGGAGACAGAGAGAAGAGGGCGAGGAGAGAAGAAGGGGAGGTAGAGAAATGGAACGTGAAGGAAACGAGAGAGAGAGATGAGGCGAGTTAGGGGAGTTGGTGAGAGAGAAAGAGAAGATCATCACTCCGCTGCCGCCCCCTCTCTAAAAAGCGCACAAAAAAGCCATGAGAAATGATGGCGTGCAATGGAGAAGAAGCCACTTACGGATAATAAGAGTATGAGTAGTAATCCCTTCTGGAGAGAGAGAGAGAAATAAAATAGAGGAAGAGAAGAAAAGGGGAAAAAGAGAACAAGAAGAAGAAGGGACATGAGATGCAAGCACTGGTAGAGCTCTGATTAGAGTGAAAAATGGCAAGCCATCAGCGGCTTGCATTTGCCACGCAAGTAATGGGACACATGCAGATACGCACAAAGCCTCAGCCAGAGCGGGAAATGGCAGACTAATCAAATACGTCATCTTGTTGCTTTTAACGAGTTAAACAAAGTGGCCTGCTGAGAGGGACTTTCATATTCGCTCTCCGCAGTCGCACATTCACAGCAATTGGGCACCGCAATCTAACCCAATATCTGCTAAATTGTCCAATGAAACGCTTGGAGAACACTTCCATCTGCATTCGTATTGCAAACGTACTTCAACTCCATTTTGGGGTGCATTTGGATTAAATGGCTTAGATTTTCTGTTTTACACAAAGGCCCGGTATATTTCTTTCCATTTCAGTGGCAAGAACTCCCATCGCTAGCTGAAGTAGGCACGTTCCTGTGATACTTTATCTCTGGCTAAATGACTGTGCTGAGGGTTTGCTACACTCAGAAGTTTAGCTTATATAAATGTTTTTTTTTTCCCCCAGAAGTAGGAAAATGAAAGCGAGAGGCTGAAGAGGTATGTGCTGATAACTGATTATGGAAAAGACAACTAAAATGCAAACAAATTGGCCATAATATTTGAGCTAGAAATACAGCACCAGATCAAAGAAACCAAAGGTGGTCAAGCTGGTTTGCTTTTGGTAGCTTAACCTGGTTTGGTTTATCAGGTCCAACCAGGTTAATCCAGAAAGCTCACCAGGTCAAGGGATGCATGATATATTGGTGTTTTAATTATTTTTGGGTGCAGTAGTAGTAAAAAAATAGTAAAGTAGAATTTTATTAAATTAACTTTCTTAATAAATGAATAAAAAGGCCATGACATAAAATAATTATCAGTTAATTTTATTGGCCATAATTTTAATATCTGTGCATCCCTAAAACCCAGCAATAATCAGACAAGGAGATGAAAGTCTAAAACAGTAGGCAATCACTATTCATGCATGTGAGAAATTAATATGAAAAACAGATGGTGAATGGTCTTTATCTGTTGTTGAAGATGAATCTATGAGATGACCATTGCGTAGATTCATCTTCAGTGATTGGTGCCGTTTGCGGAACGAGAGGCTTGTGTCTCTCATTTGCCACTGAATCTGATGACCTTTTGAGAACCGTGGGCTAATTATCTCTGAAAGCACACTTTTTCCATCCCAATTATTGGCTCATTTCTGGTTCAGGGCGGCAGCGGGCAGGGCCTAATTAAGTGAGTAATTGAATTGCATTTCTCTTTAATTAAATATTTCACACTCAGATAATCTCAGAAGATGAAAACCCCTGGCAATCTCTCCGCCGGTGCACGTGAGAATGCAGCGGAGAACACCTGGGTGCCTATTGACTGAGCCGAATAATCGAAGTCATAAACCACATTGGGTAGGTTTAAGTTAGTCATAGCTGAACGCACAATAGCCTGGTCTCTCAGGAACAGATTAAGTCTCATTTAAAAAGCACTTTCACAAGAAATATTTGAAAATGGTCCACAGACTTATAAGTGTCGGTGTATATTTTAAGCAGTTCTTTGTTTTGCAGCACATACAGTGGCTCCAAAAAGATTTGGACACTTAAGTCACACATTAATATGCACAAACGTCACTGCATATAATAAAATATCATAGATTCAAATATAATATAAATATATTTTTGAAAGATTCTATATATTATATATATATATGTATATTCATATTTCAAATTTTTTATGTAATCTAATGCAATGACAAAGAAATGTATCAAGTGTCACTTAAATGTCTATATACGCTTTGCTTCACATTTATGCTTTAAAGCAACACATGCTCTGGCTCTCGTGTTTCCGTCCTGACCAGAGGAACTCACCCTTTTTTAATGATTATGATAATGGCCCCAAGTAGCAGTATCAGGACCACCAGCCCACCAGCACACACTCCTAGGATGAGCCCCATCTCTTCTGAGCGCTGTGTGACCTCAAGAGCACGCTGATGGTCTTTACAGGCGGCTGAAGAACACACAAACATACATAACAATTGAGAACACCAGCAATTACATATAAACATACAAACCAGCCTGAATTAACATATTTACCGGCAAACAAAACACAAACACACAAATCCAAAGTACTGAGGAGAGGAAAAAGATTCAAATGAAGCCTGATGGAAAAGAAGAGTTTATAACAGATGAACAAACATGTTAATCATGATCGCAACACAAGTTTTAATAATCGTTTTAATTGTATGGAAATAGGGAAGTCCACACCACAACTATAACGATAACAACACAGGGGAACAATATTTTTGGAATTATTTTTTTCTAGCTGATGAACGATAAAACGTTGACAGCCAATCAGAATTCACCTGCTTAAGCTTGAGCGTTTAAAGCAACAGACAACTTAACTGCAGTGCACACTAATAATAAACAATGTCATTGTGTGTTGGTGTGGACATTAATATAATAATGTGGTCTTCTAATTCTAACCAGGTTAAACAAGACAGAACCAGGGTGAAAATATTTGGTGTGGCGATCAACCAAAAGGTGTGGTACTGACATGAGGTCAGCCGATCAAGGTCTTAAACCAGCTTTTACCAGCTAACAACCAAGTAAATCTGACACAAGCTGGATTTCTCAGCAGGTTTAGAAGAAATAAACAGACATTCAAATTGAAAAGCAGAAGGAGACCTTTGGTCATCCACTGACAGAGGCACAAGACAAAATTGACAATCTGAGAAAGCAAGTGAGAAAAGCATCTACAACATAGTCCTGAGTCAAAACCCAAAACACAGTCATGAGCCAAGGTGAATCCTGGCAATCCTGAGGGCTCCTTCAATCGCTCATGTTTCCCTACTGTACCATGCAGTTTGCACGCCTCCTCTGCGGCGCAAGTGCCAACTGCACCCGGTCAGCTATTTATCCCAGGCACCTGTCTCCACTGACAACGTGTGGGCAGGGGTCATTTCACAATCGGAGGCTCCTGGGGATAGCATGACTTTCTGTCACACCACAAAATGAGACTGTGTGATCCAAGAGAGAGAGTAAAGAGAAAGTGTGCATATGCAGCGGAGCCTGAGGCAAATTGCCCTGACCTGGACACGCAGCAGCTGGGCTATTTATACTCTTTCACACACTCATGCTTGTACGGGGATGTTTTGCATGTTTTTGTCTTGCTCTTTTCACAAAAACACTGTGAGGGGTTGTACAGCAAATCCTAATCCAACTAAAACGATTAAAGATCAAATATTAAAATGATATATACGATAAAAATGAATATATAACAATTTTAATATGTTGTCTTTACATTAAAAATACACAAATTGTTATATCCGTCTTTCGGAGGAGACTTTAAACCGAGGTCCTGATTCTCTGTGGTCATTAAAAATCCCATGGCACTTCTCGTAAAGAGTAGGGGTGTAACCCTGGTGTCCTGGCCAAATTGCCCCCCTGGCCTTTGACAATCATGGACTCCAAATAATCCCCAACCACTTGATTGGCTCTATGACTCTCTCTCCTCTCCACCTGTAGCTGGTGTGTGGTGAGCACACTGGCGCCGTTGTCCTGTGGCTGCCGTCACATCATCCAAGTGGATGCTGCACAGTGGTGGTGGTTGAGGAGAGAACCCCCCCACATGATTGTAAAGCACTTTGAGTGTACAACAATACACAATAAAGCGCTATATAAAAGCATCATTCATATATTTAAATATTACATACCAGATTATATAACCAACACTATGTGTTACGTAATTCAAATAAATATGAAATATAATGTTCTACACAAACATACATTAAAACTGTAGGAGGAATTACGGGAGACTCTTTGAGATGCAAAGCATAATTTATAAACAAGTGGTCCATGACACATAAAATCAAGCAGATATTTTCCTTGACGCAGACATTCAGCTGTTGATTAAAATGATATATACGATAAAAATGAATATATAACAATTTTAATGTTGTCTTTACATTAAAAATACACAAATTGTTATATCCGTCTTTCGGAGGAGACTTTAAACCGAGGTCCTGATTCTCTGGCCTTTGACAATCATGGACTCCTAATAATCCCCAACCACTTGATTGGCTCTATGACTCTCTCTCCTCTCCACCTGTAGCTGGTGTGTGGTGAGCACACTGGTGCCGTTGTCCTGTGGCTGCCGTCACATCATCCAATATTAAAATGATATATACGATAAAAATGAATATATAACAATTTTAATATGTTGTCTTTACATTAAAAATACACAAATTGTTATATCCGTCTTTCGGAGGAGACTTTAAACCGAGGTCCTGATTCTCTGTGGTCATTAAAAATCCCATGGCACTTCTCGTAAAGAGTAGGGGTGTAACCCTGGTGTCCTGGCCAAATTGCCCCCCTGGCCTTTGACAATCATGGACTCCAAATAATCCCCAACCACTTGATTGGCTCTATGACTCTCTCTCCTCTCCACCTGTAGCTGGTGTGTGGTGAGCACACTGGCGCCGTTGTCCTGTGGCTGCCGTCACATCATCCAAGTGGATGCTGCACAGTGGTGGTGGTTGAGGAGAGAACCCCCCCACATGATTGTAAAGCACTTTGAGTGTACAACAATACACAATAAAGCGCTATATAAAAGCATCATTCATATATTTAAATATTACATACCAGATTATATAACCAACACTATGTGTTACGTAATTCAAATAAATATGAAATATAATGTTCTACACAAACATACATTAAAACTGTAGGAGGAATTACGGGAGACTCTTTGAGATGCAAAGCATAATTTATAAACAAGTGGTCCATGACACATAAAATCAAGCAGATATTTTCCTTGACGCAGACATTCAGCTGTTGCACTATTCATTGATTTGGCAAAGGCGACCAGGTGTGTTGCCACAACAATTTAGAAAAAAATCCTGATAATCTCATGCAAACAACCAGTGACATGGCTCCAAGAAGCCAGCAAATGGCTATTTAAACTAATAACTGGTTACTTGCCAATGAGGCCATGTCTGCTTAGTCAAATCCGCAGTGGGAGTCCTACATCTTTGTTGATGAGGGACTAGAGATCATCTTACTCTGCCTAGTGTTAGTGCTTCCTTAATGTCTCTGTGGCCTGAAAGTTACAGGGCCCTATGAAAAAGAGAGTGAGCTAAGGCCTGAGGAAAAGGGTTTAGGGTTCCATGCAAGGCCAAGGCTAAAAATAAGTCATAAGCATGTGGAGGGATGTGGGGCAGCAAGAAAAAGAATTTGCCATGGCGCTCTCTGCTCCCTCAACAGCCAAAGGCAGTTTCAAAACTTCCCTGTCTTTGTGACAATGGCTCACTCAAAATTGAAGAGCTTTGTTTTTTTTGCTTTCATTCCATTGACTGGAGTTATAGTATGGCATTGGATTGTACGCATATAATAATAAAAAATTTACATTATGGCATTATGTACTCACTCTCATGTGGTTCCAAACCTGCATGAGTTTACTTCTTCAGAGGAAAACAAAAGGAGAAATTCTAAAAATTGTGCTTCTTGTTGTTTTCCATGGAATTACATTTTGTTGAATGCAAAAAGCATCATTAAAGTATCTTAAAAGTAGTTCACGTCTTCCTCAAAAGCATGTTGTATAGAACTGGATCAGTCCAAATTAAGAAAGAATCATTCACTAAAAAACTCAAAACAATGATTAATTCAACATTTTTTTGTGAATAACTTAAATTCCAGTCTGTTTCTCTAACAATCCTATTGTATAACTTCCGAAAACGTGTAATATTGCATAAGGATTAGACTACTACTAATAATGGACTACTTCTATGATAACTGAAAAGCCTTTTTAAGCTTAAAAGCCTCAGTACTCAGTGTAACTGCATGGAAAAGAAGAAAGTCACACAGGTTTGTAACTATATGAGAGTGGGTAAATAATCAAATATTTTTGGTTGGAGGGAGAATAGTTTATTTAAAGTAGCATAATTTAGACCACTTCCTTTCCCTTCCAATCCAAAGCAACTTTCTATGTGACAGATTTTAGATATCTGAAGACAACAGAGACTATACTTTCTCAAACCCCCCCATAGAGATCCCACATTACTCTAGACTTGAGAAGTCAGACTCCCACAGGAATCTTTTATAAAGAGCCCAGCTATGAATTATCTTAGAAGAAACCATCTCCTTTTATATAGTATAGTGCTTTTGGTGCACATCTTCACAGGCACAGATTTGCATCTAAGGCACCAATACAGTCTAAACTAATAACTGGTTACTTGCCAATGAGGCCATGTCTGCTTAGTCAAATCCACAGTGGGAGTCCTACATCTTTGTTGATGAGGGACTAGAGATCATCTTACTCTGCCTAGTGTTAGTGCTTCCTTAATGTCTCTGTGGCCTGAAAGTTACAGGGCCCTATGAAAAAGAGAGTGAGCTAAGGCCTGAGGAAAAGGGTTTAGGGTTCCATGCAAGGCCAAGGCTAAAAATAAGTCATAAGCATGTGGAGGGATGTGGGCCAGCAAGAAAAATTATTTGCCATGGCGCTCTCTGCTCCCTCAACAGCCAAAGGCAGTTTCAAAACTTCCCTGTCTTTGTGACAATGGCTCACTCAAAATTGAAGAGCTTTGTTTTTTTGCTTTCATTCCATTGACTGGAGTTATAGTATGGCATTGGATTGTACGCATATAATAATACAAAATTTACATTATGGCATTATGTACTCACTCTCATGTGGTTCCAAACCTGCATGAGTTTACTTCTTCAGAGGAAAACAAAAGGAGAAATTCTAAAAATTGTGCTTCTTGTTGTTTTCCATGGAATTACATTTTGTTGAATGCAAAAAGCATCATTAAAGTATCTTAAAAGTAGTTCACGTCTTCCTCAAAAGCATGTTGTATAGAACTGGATCAGTCCAAATTAAGAAAGAATCATTCACTAAAAAACTCAAAACAATGATTAATTCAACATTTTTTTGTGAATAACTTAAATTCCAGTCTGTTTCTCTAACAATCCTATTGTATAACTTCCGAAAACGTGTAATATTGCATAAGGATT